CAGGGCTGTCCAGTCGATGAGATGCTTGTCAGAGCCACACGCGCAGAACAGAGCAACCAAGCTGCGGCATTCACCGCAACCATCCAGGACGCAATTCAACAACAAGGACACATCATTGCAGCTGCTTTATCAAGCAACAACACAAGGAGACAGAAGACGTAATGAAAAAGTATAGCAATACTGAGTGTTTTCCATGATACCAAGAAGGATGGACATTATGCAAATCAAAGTTATTTCAAATACAATGTGGATGAAAATTACTGTAAAAAAAAAAGATAGAAATGTTAATAATGATTTAATTGCTAAAAATGTCTTTGAAAACAAAGATTTGAGAAAAGTCAGTCAGATGGAATGTTGGCATTGAGTTCACAATTTCTGTTTTTGAGTTTTTATAGATAATAAGATAAATAATAATTGTCAAGTTTTTATAGGTAATGATAAGTAGTGATTGTTACTAATGTTATATGAATGCTTTGACAAGATTGTTTTAAACTATTTTAAACATTTCTTGTTAATAGGTTGATCATATAATGTAAGTTGTCTGATTTTTGTGATAAGAATTATTATTAAGATGTTAAGGTATTGAGGTGTTGTTTTAATATTTACAGTCAGTTTTCATATGTTTTATGGGTTTTTTTAGGTGATTGATTGTAAGATGTGTTTTTCAGGATCCTGTGTGTTTGATTTTTTAACTACTCATGTGTTTTCTTTATTCAATTTTCTATGCAGCTGCAGTTCATCTTCTTTTAAAAATTTATAGTCCAAGTTCTGGTTCAAGATTTCAGACTTCAAATTTTCAGATTTTTGAAGAAAAGGTTTGTTGTATTTAGAGAATTTTTGTCTTGAAGGAAATTTTAGACAGGTTCAATCATTTGATGTTTTGATAAATTGTTAATAATAAGGTTTTTCACTTATAACTGTTATTTTTAAGACTTTTGCTTTAAACATATCCTCCAATTAGAGTTTGAGCTCTGGCCAGGCTCTGGCTCTACGTGGATGGTGTGATTGATCCAGGTGTTTTCTGCATCAAAAAAGTATTCAAGTCCTTTTGGCTTGACAATTTGACCATACAGGACAGCTGAGCCTCAAAGGAGGTTTTGGAGAGACATGATCCGGACATGTTTTATCCAAATCTCTGTTGTTTTAAGGTTTTTCAGCTGCTGCAGACTCTGGGATGACAATTTGATAGTGTAGCACTTGGTAACTGTGATTTTATATGTAATATTGATTGTGTATTATCTGATTGATTTTTATTTGTTGTTAGTTTCTTTACTATATGCATTGTTTTGTTCTTAATGTTCTTCATGTTTATAACAAAGATGTTGATATTTCCATTTCTTCATGCAAGTTTTAGGGAACAGAATTGAGAGAGGACCCTCCAGTCCCTGTGGGGGTGTTGGGTTTGTTTGTGTTTTAACAGGTGCAGAATCTAAATGGATTTCAGTGAAGAATGTGGAACTTATCAATTGCAAGAGGGCACTGATCTCTCCACAAGTGGATCAGAGGATGCACAGCAAAAGTGGATTGTGCAAAGATTTGTGTTTCACCCACAGAAGATCGTGGGCTTTGAGTTTTTTTTTATAAGTGTGTTTTTAATGATGTTATAGAATTTTTTTTTTTGCTAAGTTTTTAATAAGTTTTAGTAATGCCTGTGATTTTTCTGTTCATCTTGCCATTGTCTTTCAATGGCAAAAGAAAAAGAGGGAGGTCCCAACGTGGATCAGCAGAAATTCTACTTGAGTGAGTGTTTTTACCCATCCAACCAAGAAGTCGTGTGATGGACAGGACAGATGCTCTCGCTGCATTGATACGAAAAGGCAGAAACAGAATTTTAAAAATAGATGAAAAAGATATCAACTCGCAGTGATAACAACGTGAACAACAACAGTTTGCCTGGAACATCCCTGATGAATCCAGTTCTGATGAAAATTAATTTTGTAGAGTACAGAAAAATAAGTTGAAATATCATAAGTGTGAAGTTAGATTTATCAGAAGTTAGTTTATTAGAAGTTATAGTTTATGTTTAAAATTAAGATTGTTTCTTTCATGTTAGCTGGGTCAAAGGGTATTGCACTTTTTTTTATCTTTATAGTTATTTAAATTGTTATACCGTGTTTTTTACAGTGTGGGCAAAAATTAGTTCATTGCGCCTTCACTCCAGCCTGAGTAGCTCAAAAGAAAAAGAGGGAATTGTTGCAGCATTTTTGAGAGAAAGAGGGCATGAATTGTGAAAGTTGAGCTACTCCAGGCTAGACCTCAGATTGAGGCCTGGTGTGGCCTTCAAAGCCTCTGACGCAGTTAGAAATTCAGGGCTTGTGGCGCAGATAGAAAATAGTCTTAAGGTATTGTGGGGACCACCGGGTGTGAACTAGTATAGGTTTTATGGTGTACAGTGTAGGCCGTTTTAAGGAAAAGGTAAACAATGTTAGCCTACCAATCAGAGTGTCTTTGTTTCTGTAAACTATGTAGAAGCTTATATAAACTACCGCCTGATTTTGAATAAACGGAGAACGTTGCATTAATCATATTGATTGGATGTGCGTTTGTCTTGTCCAGTTTCCCGTTTTCCTGAGGTTCCCTGGCTTTAACGTGCCTTCTTCACCTTCTCTTATAATTGAAGCAGCAACTGACTGCATCCATAATTGTGCCTGGATGCAGCTAAGGGCTAAGGAAACGTTGCTTTGTGTAGCATTGAGTGCATCCATTATCAATTCGTGGTCATTCATAGTTACCTTTTCCCAATTTGGTAATATGTTTGTTAGCAACCACTGATGCATTCCCAAGGCCGATAAGGACGATTGCAGTGGTTGTTGTAATTGGGTCAAATCTTTAGTTGTAGCAGCCAATTTATTCATTAATACTTCTGAATCAGTACTATTTAGAATTCCCAATCCCGTTCCCACAGCACCAGTTATTTCTCTTGGCACCCGTGTTTTAGAAGGGTTCCACTGTCGTAAGCAGGTCGTCCAACCCTGGAAAGAATTTTACCAGAAAGGTGAATAAGCTGGCTGAATTTCAGAGACATTGCTTTGCATTAGCAATTTAACTTGTTTAAGAGACCATGCCGGATTGAACAATATTTGTTGTTGGCCAGTTTCCCTGATTATATATGGTCCAGTTTCAAAAATTTCAAAAATTTTCAGGCTAAGCATAACCGGTGGTTGGGTGGTCAGTATCACAACATTAACATCAAGTCCTCCCCAGTATTTAAATCAATACTTTAAACTTAAAAGAAAGCGCTTCAGTATTTTTGTCCAAAGACAAACTACTTCTGCAGTTTGTGTTAATGTGAAATTGTGCCAACAATCCTGTACGCTTTGGTGCCTACAAACCTTTTTGTGCTTAGAGAGCTTTTCACTCTTTCTGCATGCTCCCACAGTTATTTCAGACCACAATGGCTCAGCTGGTTTCTGACCATGGGATTGTGGTAGGATGCAGGACAGTATTACCAGTTTTATCATGGATTAGGGGGTCTTCATGTCCCTCGGAATTCTTCTGTAAAAGTAAACACAACAGAATCCTGCCAGTGAGAGGCAGAAAAGGTTAGAATGATGGAATTATCCTGCATGTATTTATCCAATGCTCTTTCCCTAGAGCACCAGAGGCTTCCCATGCACATTTATTCAGAGGGGGTTTTAGCACAAGTGGTACCAGCCCTGTAGTAAGGGACGTCCACCAGAACAGGTTGGCCAGGGTAATGTGCTGGATTATCAGGATCATTTGGTGCACAGCGTAGGAGTCAGTGTAGATACAGACAAGAGAGGCGTTCTGTGCTTCTCATTGGAAAACACTCCAGACAGCTCTCAGCTCCTCAGCCTGAGAACTGCTTTCTCCCTCAGTAATAATTAGTTCAGCAGGGGAAATGTGGGGGGCTGCTGCCCTGTGTGTGCCTTTGTGCACACTTTCCAGGAGTTGGTCAGGGGTGCTAACTATAGCTACAGGATCTCCCCTTTCCAAGGGGCTTGTTCCCCCGGCCCAAAAAGCCACACGCTGTGTCAGGGACCATGAGTCATGTTTATCTCCTGTTGTTAAGAAGACACCGTGTCCCCAGTACCCAGAGGAGTTTCCTTCTCCTCTGTTTCTTTTAGTTTGTTGGTGAGCTTTGCATTTTTAATCTGTTCCTCTTTAAGGGCAGCTTGTAACAAATTACTTTTATTCTTTTCTTCATCTAATTGTTTTTGCAAAATTTCAACTAGGTTTTGAAGGGAGTCTGTTACTGCATTTTCCTCACTTCTTCTCTCGAAGCGAGTTTCTACAGCTGCCATAAGACAAACTCCCAAAACTGAGCATAAGATGGTTTTATTTCTGCCCAGTTTAGATTTTGTATCATGTTGTAAAGAACATATTCTATAAACCACATTATCCAAATTAAACCAATTACTTTGTGCCCATTCCTCCCCTCCCGGAGAAGGTTTGGCATTGTATTTAGCTAGTAAAGCATAAAATTAATCTTTAGCTTTAGCATTAAGGTTATTACTCATTTTGTGAAGGGACCAAAACCACAGCAGGGAGATACAAACTTAAGTTAGCAAAGCACACGGCCGTCGCTGTGCCACCCTTCACTTCCCTGGGTGGGTAAAGAGACAAAATCTGCCTGGGAGGCTCTGCTTAGTTTCTTCAAGTTGTCCCTTCCTTCCCAGACAGTCTAAACACACACATAAAACAACACAGTGTCCCGCCTTTTGCACTAAGAGATCTTTTGCAATTTCTGAAGACAGTGTGGGTGCTTTTTCGCCAAGGCAATGTGCAGTCTGCAGGAAATTCGAATCTCCCCCCTTGCTATCCAGACACTGCTCAGTTTTTTGGACTGGCAGGCGAGATGCGGCTGGAGAGAAACATCCTTGCCTTTTTACAGACTACACAGAACCTGCACCCTTCTGCCTGGACAGAAATCCTGTCCGTGACGCCAGTTTAATGTCACGATGCGCTTGCAGCGGGATGTGGCGATGGTTCCTTAGCCGATCCCAAAGTGCAAAAGACAAACAGCAGGGGACTATCAGTTTAATCACAACAAATGCACCTTTATTAGGGGTCAGAACAATAAATACCATAGTGGGGTCAGAAAAGAAATAAGAAGGATAGAGAGGGAGAGAGAGGAGAGGGGGATGGGAATAGCTGCCAACACAGGCCAGATCCTCACTGGTCCGGACCATGGGGATCCGTCTTCTTGTGCTGGGGAGAGTCTGCAAAGTCCCGCCCAACCCAGGGGTCCAGTTATAGTCCACAGAGGAAAAAGGGGGGAACATGCAGAGCAATGAGAGTCTATTGAAATTGCTGTGGGGGGGACAGGTGAATCTACTGAAAATCATCCAGGCAGAACAAACACAATGAAGAATAAGTCCATTGAAGTTTCTGGAGAAGAACAGGTCATGTCATTCTCCCCCCCACTCTCTGTGGTCAGGGTCTCAGTCTCAGTCCTTGTGGAGAGGGTTCTTGTTCTCTGTCTGTCACGGTGGTAACGAGGCAGATGAGGGGTCTGCAGTGAGAGACCACCAGAGTCACCCCAACAGTTCATTCGGCTTAAAGGTGGAGAGTGAAGCAGGAATTGCAGTAGTCCGCCCTGTGCTGGGTCCATGCTGGGTCGTCACCAAGTTCCAGCCAACTGCTTGCCAAGTCCTTGCCAGGCCTCGTTGGGAACAGCCGGCATGACGGTGCAGTGGCTGCACCTGCACTGTTGCCTCCTCCAAGCTGGAACTACAGCGGGGGGGGGGGGGGGGAGTTGGGGGGACTTTTCTTCTCGTGGCAATTGGCAGACAAATGAGTGAGGGTCTTCAGATGGCCTCTTACACCAGGAGAGGTTGGTGGACAGGAAAATCCACAGCCAGGATCAGCCCGGGCACTTCATCAGTGATTTGGGCGCTTTGTGGGGGGTACCCTGCATGGGGAGACCATACCCAGGGCGGGAACTGGGACAGACTTAGATTCAGCTTTAGATCTCTTTGCTTAATTTCTTTATTTTTACCCCAATTCTAGGTGTTTTGATGGGATAAACATGGAAATTATTCAGGTAGGAAAAGATCTCCAAGATCATTCATTGTTGCTTGATGCCATAAGAAGAAAAAATGACACAGCAGGTGAGATATTTTCGTGCTGTAAAGTCAAAGAAACAGCTCTTCCCAATTAATTTTCAATGGTGATCAGAGTGCCGATGGATGTTCCTGCCGTGTTCATCCAGGTGTCTATGGGAATCCAGGAGGACGTGGAGACTACCAGCCAGGTGTCTTCTCAGCAGGGATCACAGGGAATGTGGGTCATCAGGGCTCTGACCAACATGGGTCCTCCCATGGGGGATGGAGTTGGAGCAGGACACGAAGCTCTTCCTGCAGTCGGGGCATTCACAGGGCTTCCCTTACCGGTGCCTCCGTTGGTGTTTGGTCAAGTGAGAGCTCCTGGAGAAGCTCTTCCCACACTGAGGACACTCGTAGGGCCTCTCCCCAGTGTGGGTCCGCCAGTGCAGAAGGAGATTTGATCTGGCCTGAAACCTCTTCTTACACTCGGGACATTCGTAGGGCCTCTCCCCAGTGTGGATCATTTGGTGGGTGATCAGTTGGGACCTTCGGCTGAAGCCCTTCCCACATTCCCCACATTTGTATGGCCGTTCCCCAGTGTGGATCATCTGGTGGTGGATCAGGTTGGATCTCTGGCTGAAGCTCTTCCCACATTCCCCACACTCATAGGGCCTCTCCCCAGTGTGAATCCTCTGGTGGCGGATCAGGTTGGATCTCTGGCTGAAGCTCATCCCACATTTCCCACACTCGTAGGGCCTCTCCCCAGTGTGGATGCACTGGTGGGTGATGAGGGTGGAGTTGTGCTTGAAGCCCTTCCCGCAGTCGGGGCAGCGGAAGGGCCTCTCATCCGTGTGAATCCGCTGGTGCCGGAGGAGATGGGAGCTGGTCTGAAACCTCTTCTGACACTCGGGACACTCATAGGGCCTCTCCCTGGTGTGGATGCGTTGGTGGGTGACAAGGGCAGAGTTGCAGCTGAAGCCCTTCCCACACTCCCCACACTCGTAGGGCCATTCTCCAGTGTGGATCATCTGATGCCTGATCAGGTGGGAGCTCTTCCTGAAGCTCTTCCCACACTCCAAGCACTTGTAGGGCTTCTCCCCATTCTGAAGCTTCTCAGGGACCACCAGCTCCGAGCTCTGGCTGAAGCTCTGCCCACCTTCCTGGCCCAGAGTGGGCCTTTCCTCCTCAGAGCACCCTGGGCTGGGTTTGCAGCCCCTCCTTGTGTGGGATCTCCAGGGCTTTTCCTCCCTGTTGGATTCCTGTGCTGTGGAGTTGCTCAAAACGGCCTCTTCCATGAGGTTGTGCTGCAGGGATTTGTCCTTCCTGGTCTCCATCCTCAGCTCCTGCTCTGGGGTAGGAAGGACAAGGAGAGGATGGGATTTGCCTCCGTGCCACAGGGAAGGGCAAGGAGATCCCCCCAGTGCGTCCCCGGCAGGAGGGCACCGGCAGCGGGGCTGTCCTGCAGCCGGGGGCTGTGCTGGGCTGGGAGACGGAACAGGAGAGAGGGGGAAAGGGGCACTGACTTCCTCCTCACCTGCCTCGGTGTCCTGGGACATCTTCTTCTTCCTTGCAGCCTCCCAGGGGCTGGGAATGGAAAATCCTGGTTTGGGGAAAAACAAGGGATGAGTATGCTGAGTTTGAGGGTCCCTCTGTCCCAGTCCATCCCTAGAAGTCCCTGGCCACCTGGGCTCCATAAAAACCTCCCAAACACCGAGATCCAGCCCTGAAAAAGCCTCCCAGGAGTTCCCCGTCCCTGCTGCCTCCCCTTTGCTGTTCGGGGCTCCCCCCTGTCCCAGCTGCTGGGGTCACACTTGGATTGGGGGTCCCCTTCTCCTCGCTGCCCGCCCTCCCCAGGCTGCCGGGAGTCCCAGCAATCCCAAAAGCTCCCCCCTCCTGGCTCTCCCCATTGAGGGTGCTGGGCTGCCACGATCCGCTGGTACAAGTGGGGGTCCTGATGTTTCATTTTACCCATCTCAGAGTGCAAAGGACACACAGCAGGGGGACTTTCCGTATCAGTCAAAGCCAATGCACCTTTTATTGATGCCCTCAGCAGATGGGATAGAAGGGTTAGGAAGGAGATAAAGGATAGAGAGACAGAGAAGGTGGGTGAGGGGAAATAGCTACCAACAGAGAGACGAAATCCTCGTGGTCCAGCCAACAGATCTGTATTGTCACGTCAGGGAAAATCTCAAAGTCTTTGGTTAACTCAGGGGTCTTTTATAGTTGAGGGAGCAGGTACAGGGCAGTGGAGAATAAGCTGAGAACAAGCACAGACAGTGCAGTTCCGAACTGGACAAACCAGTCCCGGCAGCGAGCAGGACCCATTGTTTCAGGACTCCTTGCCATGGGAAACCAGTCTTGGTCCAGCGATCACACCTGAGGGAACACTTGGCAGACATCCCGCTTCCGTCAGGCCAGCGCCCTGTGTTAGAATTTTAAGGGTCTCAGTCTCAGCCCATGGGAGGGGGCCTCAATCTCCGTCCTTGAAGGTGGTCATGAGGCAGATGAGGGATCTTCCATGGGGGATCACCAAAGCTGAGAGGTGGGGAAATTAACCCCTCATTAACCCTGTTGTGGTGAGTGGGGATCATGCAGCAGGTGAAGTGTACAGAGCACGCCGCTCCTTGCCAGGCCCTGCCAGGAGCCGTGCAGCGTGGCAGCACAGCAAACACACCTGCAAACAATCACCTGGTGAGAATCCACCTCAACCAGGCCAGAACTGCACTCAGGGTCTGCAGGGTCTGAGTCTCTGTCCTTGCAAAGGTCGTGAGGCACATGAGGGAAACTTTGGACTATCTCTTACACCATGGACACCTGGATGAGAGGGACAGTTCTTTTCCATAGGAAGGAAAGCACAGAGCCACAGGGTGTGGAAGGCAGGTGAGAGCCTCACTGGGCCAAGGCCAGCCAAACTCGTCAGTAATGGCAGATTTTGTCTGGGAGCAATCTTTGGATACAGGGAATTTTGGAAGTGGAACCCCAGTGTTGGCCATGGGTGGCTGGAGTAGCAGGACAGGTCTTTCCCATAGGAAGGAAAGCATGGAGCCTTCCCCAGTGTTTTGGGGACAGATGGGAGGTGAGCCTTGTGAAACCATTGCAAGGCAGACTTGTCCTGGCAATATTCCTATAGGAACAATCCCTGGAAATAAGGAAATTTGGAGGTGAAATCTGAATTCTTGCCATGTTTGCCAGGAGGAGAAGGACAGATCTTTTCTACAGGAAGGAAACAGGGAGCCCCAGTGTTTCAGCAGCAGATGAGAGGCAGACCTTGACATTCCAAGATCAGCCTGACCTGATCCCCCCCTCCCCACTCCCCCTGGGAGGCCAAACCAGTCTGACCTGTTCCAGGTTCCCTTGGTTCCATGGGGTCTCGAAGTGTCATAATGATGCATTGATTCCATGGGGTCCAGCAGTGTCCCAATGACTCCTCTGTTCCATGAGCCCTGCAGTGTCACCCTGTACCCTTGGTTCCACACAGCCCTACAGTGCCACCAAAGCCTCCTGGTTCCATGAGGCCTCACAGTGTCACAATGATTTACTTATTCCATGGGGCCTCATAGTATCCCAATGGTCTCCATGATCCCATGAGTCCCCTCAGGGTCACAATGGTCTCCTTGCTTCCATGGTGCCCCACAGTGTCACAGTGGTCCCTTGGTCTCACAGGCCCCACAGTGTCACAGTGCTCCCTTGGTCTCACAGACCCCACAGTGTCACAATGGTCCCTTGGTCTCACAGGCCCCACAGTGTCACAATGGTCCCTTGGTCTCACAGGCCCCACAGTGTCACAATGGTCCCTTGGTCTCACAGGGCCCCACAGTTTCACAATGGTCCCTTGGTCTCACAGACCCCACAGTGTCACAATGGTCCCTTGGTCTCACAGGCCCCACAGTGTCACAATGGTCCCTTGGTCTCACAGGCCCCACAGTGTCACAGTGGTCCCTTGGTCTCACAGGCCCCACAGTGTCACAATGGTCCCTTGGTTCCATGGTTCCTGTGCTGGTGCATTCCCCCCTCCCCTTCTCAGGCCGCCCTGCCAGCTGAGAAATGCTCGCTGGGCCTCGGCCTTGGCCAGCAGCCCCTGGGCTCAGCTCCTCTGGAGCTCATCACAAACCCTGTCTGCTCCAGGCACTGCTGCTGCCCAACCAGCTCCTGGCTGCTTTAGGAGCAGCCCTGGGAACTGTTTGTGTTCCCTCAGTGGCACAACATCCCTGTTCTCACCCTGCCAAAGAAAGCTGCTGATGCCAAGTGCGGCCAGGATGAAACATGGCTGGGACTGAAGCCCCTCTCTTGGGGCCCTACAAACAGCGCTCCAAAAGGAGCCCTTGGAGCTCTCCTGGCCAGTGACTCCCTCTGAGTGGGGCCTCTCCGGGCTGGGAACTCTCCCATTTGCTGCACTCGGGGGATCCCGAACAACGAGGGAGCCTGGGCCGATCCCCCCACTCCTCCAGGCTCAACCCTTCCCCGCTGGGGAGATGCCAAAGCATCCACAGGGAGCATTTCCCTGTCCTCAGGGGAATTTCTCACAGGTGCCCTGCACTGACTCTCTGTGTCTGTGTGCACACAGGAGTGCCTGTGCTGGGGAAATGTGGCAGAAATGCTGCTCTCTGAGGGGTCTGAGTGCCTTGGGTAACTGAGCCAGTCAGGCCTTTAAGTAAGGTTAAATCAAATGGTCTAAGTGACACTGTAGTCCCCTTGATTCCATGAGGCTCTGCCATGCTCTAATGGCCCCTTGGTTCCAGTGGGTCCCAAAGTGTCAGAACAGTCTCCATTGTTCCATGAGGCCCCACAAAGTCACTGTGCTCCCCTTGGTTCCACAGGGCCCCACAGTGTAACAATGGACTCTTGGTTCCATGAGGTGCCACGCTGTGTCACAATGGCTCATGGTTCCATGAGGCCGCACAGTTTAACAATGGTCCCTTGGTTCCATGAGGCCTTGCTGTGTCACAATGGACTTGGGGTTCCATGAGCTTTCCTACTGCCATAAACAGTCTCCCTGGTTCCACAGTGTCACCATGGTCCCTTTGTTCCATGAGGTTCCATGGCAGAACCTTGGTTCCATGGCCACCTTGGTTCTGTGTGACCTTGCAGTGTCACAATGGACCTGTGGTTCCACGAGGCCTTGCTGTGTCAGAATGGCCCCTTGGTTCCAAGAGATTTCTCAGGGTCACAATGGTCTCCTTGGATCCGTGGTATCACAAATCACAAAGGCAAATGCATATTGCCAAGAGTTGAAACACAGCAGACAGGGAAGATGTGAAAAGTGAGTGTGTAAAGGCCTTTTAATTCACAGCTCCCACAGAGAGCTTTGGGGCTCACAGATGGACAGAGATGGTTCTGCTCACCCCTCTGTCCAAAGCAGGGGTAACACACGCTGCTGCAGGTGCTTGGGTTGGTCCCTGCAGGTCCAGGTGGATGCCAAACCTGCTCTTCACAGCCTTCTCCCTTGCCCTGCCCCTCTGCCAAGTGCAGCGGGCCTCAAGGACTGAAAGGAGCACAGAGAGCCAAAGGGGGACACTTGCACCTGCCTCACTGGGAGCTCCCTGGGAAGCACTTTCCTTGAGAAGCAAGCCCCTGTCCTCCAAAGGCATTTCCCCAAATGTGCAGCTTTTCTGCTCAACACCAACACACCCTTAGGAAACGCTGGCAAGGCTGAAGGACTTCATGTCCTTTCAGGACAGGCACTCCAGCTCTAGCTCCTATTCCCCCAAGTGCCTTTCCAGGTGGAGGCTCAGACGTGCAGCCCCAGGCCCTCTACAAACACAAGCTGCTCAGTGCCTCTTCACCTGCCTCAACTCCTGCCTGCGCCCACGGCACCAAGACCAGGCTGTTCCCAGCCAGAGCCCAGAGCCCTGCTCCCACAGGACGCTCTTGCCAGCACCTTCCAGGCCTCTCCGCTGTGCACACAGCGCTTTTCATGCCCGCTCCCAACAGGCTCTGGAAGGCAGAGCACAGCCTGGCTGCCTCTGCCACCAGCACAGCCCAAACACAGGCAGAGGAAGAAGCAGCAGGGGCTGTTTTGTGGCCATGCCCAAGAGAGACTGGAAGGGTGCCCTCCCTCTGCTCTCACTTGCTTGGCTTTCTGACTGGCTCCGAGCCTGGGGCTGCCATTCCTCACTTGTGGGCACCAGAACCACAGCCGGGATCCCGGCACTGCCTGACAGCGCTCCGGGCACTGGCAGGGTCGCGCGTCCCAGTCTGGGGCACCGCGCTGCTGCTTCCTTTGCCCTCAGGCACACCCAAAGCTCCCTGCTAAGCCCAGATGGTCGCTGGTTCTGCCCTCTCCCTGATCCTGTGCAGGGATGGAGCACTGCTGAGCTTTCAGGAAGCTATTCCTGAAAACTTCCAGCATTCCAAGCTCCTTTGCCCTCCGTGGAAGCTTGCCATGGAATCCCTCACAGCTGCCTTCAGAGCATACTCAGCTTGGCTCTTCCAAATTCCAGGGGCTCCAGGCTGCTCAGCAAGATCTGCAACTCCACAGGGTTGTGGAACTGCACCTTCAGCACAGGCACCTCTCCAGCCTGATCTGCCCTCGTTCCTCTGTGTGTGTGTACAGAACACGGCGTGGAAGAGAACAGCAGCAGGGGCCTGTGTGTCCCAGGGCCCGGGATTTGCGCCGCTTCAGCTCCACAGAGATGCAGGTAAGGGGGAGAAACCAAACTGTTTATTAATAAAAGGGAAAAGGAAGGGATGAGATGGGGGCCAAAAAAAGGGAATGGGCAGCGTTTGAGGGCTGGAGGGAGGGAGCTGTCAACAGGGAGGGGGAAGGCAGCAGCTATGGGAGCTTGCAGCAGGCACAGCTGTGGCCAGCATCAGGTGTGCCTGGAGCTCCAGTGACATTGAGTCCTGCTGCTCTCTTCACTGTCTCCTGGTACTCTGCTTGGGACCCTGGTTCTCTGAATCCAGCAGATGACCTTAGTTCTGCACATCTTTGTCCAAAAACTGCCTGAATTTCCAGGTTAGTGGAGGATGGGCTGTCATCTTCACTCATGGCTTGAAGGGCTGGAAGACAGATAAACTACCACAGTCAGAGACCAGGGGCTGTGTGACATCACAGAGATCTGTGTGACATCACAGGGGCTGTGTGACATCACAGGGCTGTGTGACATCACAGGTCCTGAGTGACATCACAGATCCTGTGTGACATCACAGGGGCTGTGTGACATCACAGAGATCTGTCTGACATCACAGAGAGCTGTGTGACATCACAGAGAGCTGTGTGACGTCACAGAGATTTCAGTGTGACATCACAGGGATGTCTGTGTGACATCACAGATCTGTGTGATGTCACAGAGAGCTGTGTGACATCACAAAGATGTCAGTGTTACATCACAGGAGGTGGTGTGACATCACAGGTCCTGTGTGACATCACAAAAAGCTGTGTGACATCATAGGGTCAGTGTGACATCACAATGATGTCCGAATGACATCACAGATATGTCTGTGTGACGTCACAGAGATGTCAGTGTGACCTCACAGATATGTCTGTGTGACATCACAAAAAGCTGTGTGACCTCACATGGTCAGCGTGACATCACAGGAGATTGTGTGACATCATAGAGATGTCTATGTGACATCACAGAGACATCCATGTGATGTCACAGAGAGCTGTGTGACATCACAAGAAGCTGTGTGACATCACAGAGATAACAGTGTGACATCACAGGGTCAGTGTGACATCACAGAGGGCTGTGTTACATCACAGAGATGTCGGTGGGACATCACAAAGAACTGTGTTACATCACAGAGGTGTCCGTGTGACATGACAGAGGGCTGTATGATCTTGCACCTTCTGGAAGATGGAGTATCGCTCACTCTGTATTGCCCGGAGCACATGCAATGTTTGAAGTGCCAGCTCTGACATGGCACTACTGACATCCTCTGTCAGGCATTCAAGGGCTGCAAGAGAGAGGAACAGAGCCACGGTCAGATCCCGACTCTGCGGGGAGCCGAGGGGAGCCCCCCCTGCCAGGGCCATCCCAGCCGGCTCTTGCCATGGCCGGGAGGGATCAGGGACCAAGGGGATCAGCCCGAAGCTGCTGGCCATGCATCCCCCACGTGTCCCTGAAATCTCTGTGTGCTCTACCTAGGAGAGCAGAGCTCTCCACAGCCGGGGCAGGGCTTGCAGCTCGCCCCGGCAGCCCCCGCTGGCAGCCCGCTGCCCTCACTCAGCCTCACAGATGAGCTGGAGCTCTTCCTTCCTCCCCCTCAGGTACCGCCCGGCCATCCCTGGGAACACAGAGCCTGTCAGGCCCAGCGGCACAGCTCCCTGCCAGCGGCGCTGCCAGCCCTGTGCCCACACGCCCTCCTGGCCCGGCTCGTGGCTCACCCATGAACCTGACGGCGCCTCTCGCAGGGGCTCCTGTGGGCTCTGCAGGTAGGGCAGGGCCCGGCGCAGGTGCTCGGCCACGCTGCTGCTGTCCTCTGCCAGCTGCAGAGAGCGGCAGGAGGGAAGGGTTGGCCCCGCAGCCCCGCCGGGCCGGGGCTCCATGGGCACCCGGCTCGGGCCGCAGGAGCCTGGAGCAGAGCCCGCGCGGCCTCGGGCTGCAGCAGCGGGCAGGGGCACAGCTGCCAGCCCGCACACCGAGCACTGCGCTCAGGGGGCTTCTCCAGGCTGGGGCTGCGGCTTCCCGGCCCTCCTTACCAGGCACTCGGTGAACTTCCACAGCTCCTGGTTCTTCACCAGCTTTTCAAGATCCCTCCTGTTCAGGAACTCGGCCGCACAAAGCAGCGTTTCCTGAGAAGCCTGGAGAGCAGCAGAGACGCGGAGATGGCCCCACAGCCCAGGGCGCAGGACCCGTCCCTGTGCCAGGGCCTGGAGGAGGCTGCAGCCTGCGAGGTGCCAGGGCAGGAGGCAGCCCAGCCCCTGCCAGGGGAACAGCAGCAGCTGCCGAGTCCTCACCTCTGCCACTCGCTGGTTCTCATCATGGCAGTGGAAGGAGAGTGGCAGCAGGCTCTGGCGCACGTGTGTCTTCAGGGCCTTTTTATCCTCTTCTGGAAAAGAATCCAGCATCTCTCGGAAGACAAACATGGAGCACAACTTCACCTGCAGGAGCTCCACGAGCCTTTCATGCAGGCTCCACATCCTTATGGCCATCTATTTGTGGAACACAAGTGTGTGAAACACCATCCTGCTGCCACAGGGCCCAGGGGCCAAAGGCCTGTGCCAAAGCACTCGGGCAGCTGCAGCAGGAGGCAGGAGAGCTGGCAGCAGCTGCCTCAGTACCCCAAGGCCAGCCGAGCCCCAGGGACTGCCTTCCCCAGCCCCATGCTGGCAGCACGGCTTCAGCCCCTGTGCTCTTCTCACCGAGGCACTGGTGGTGCCGAGCACCACGAGGCCTCTGAGTGCCAAGCGACGCCTCCCCCTGCACTCGCTCTGCAGGTTCTTTGACAAGAACTCCAGGACGCTGTCACGGCATTCACTCAGGTTCAGGCGCTCCAGGACCTGAAAGGCACAGGGCAGTGACGGGGGAGCGGCCGGCAGGAGCCCAGAACCGCACAGGGCCGGGCCCAGGCAGCAGCACAGGGCGCGGGCTCCGTCCCAGGCACTGCGGCCAAGAGAGGGCAGAGAGCCGGGAGGCAGCTGAGCGAGGCAGCGCTGGCCTTCAGGCTCACCTCCACAAGGAACGCCAGGGCGGCCAAATCCCGGCATGGCGTGTCTTTGCTGAGCAGCCCGAGCAGCTGGAATGCAATCGCGGAACACAGGGCTCTTTCAGAGCCTCTTTTTCATTTTCCTGTGGAAAAGTCATCAATGTTCGGAAGAGCAGTATGGAGAGCAGCTGCACCTGGCTATTGTCCTGTATGAAGGGAAGAAAAAGAGACCTCAGCATTGGCTGCACGGGGCTCAGCTTGGTGCAGGCCTGCAAATCCACAGGGCACAAAGTGTCTGGGCAGCAGCCAGTGGCCGTGGCTGGGGGCAGTGAGCCTTACGTGGTCAAGGAGTGGCAGGAGCGCCTCAACCAGCTGCAGTGTGATGGGGCTGGGTATCAGCATGTCCTTGTCCAAGATGATAAAGTTGAGGAGCATGACTGTCATGCTAACTGTCTCTCCATCTGCATCCCACAGGAGCTCCACAAGACTTTCAGTCAGGCTCCACATTTTTTCTCTCTGTGAGGAACACAAGTTTGTGAAATGCCATCCTGCTGCTGCAGGGCCTAGAGGCCAAAGGGCTGTTCCAAAGCACTTGGGCAGCTGAAGCGGGAGGCAGGAGAGCTGGGAGCAGCTGGCCCAGCGCCCAAAGCCCAGCCAAGCCCAAGCGACTGCATTCCTGAGCGCAGCCTCTGCCCCTGCCCCCTTCTCACCATCGAGGGATCCTTGATGAGCTCGAGAAGGGCCCTGAGCACCAGGTGACGCCTCTCCTTGCACTCGCTCCTCAGGTGCCTTGACAAGATTTGCAGGACTCTGTCAGCACCGCGTTCACTCAATTCCAGGCACTCGAGGACCTGAAAGGCACAGGGCAGTGACAGGGGACCGGCCGGCAGGAGCCCAGAACCGCACAGGGCCGGGCCCAGGCAGCAGCACAGGGCGCGGGCACCGTCCCAGGCACTGCGGCCAAGAGAGGGCAGAGAGCCGGGAGGCAGCTGAGCGAGGCAGCGCTGGCCTTCAGGCTCACCTCCACAAGGAACGCCAGGGAGGGCAGCTCCCAGCGTGGCTCCTGTGTGCTGAGCAGCCGGAGCAGGTAGCGAGCGATCCGGGAGCACAAGGGGATGGACACACAGGACATCTCCCTGGCAGGAGACAAAGTAACCAAGACTGTGGGCCAGGGGGACAAACCTCTCCCAGGACTGACTCACAGAGGTCTGGTCTTTCCCCAGCATCCTGCAAGGGCCCCTGGGCTATTTGGGAGGCGGCTCCTTGTGGGCACCCTCCTCTCCCAGCCTTTTTCAGTCTGCTTGGCTGTCCCTCGGTGACAAGGCCCTCTGGCCAATGACCACAGGGACTGTGTGGGGCACCCCAGGCACAGAGCACAAATGTCAGAGGCAGCAGTGTGAAGGGGGTCTCACCTGGCCAGCAGACCCACGGCATAGTGGTGGGTGTCAGCACACAGCAGCGTGTCCCAGCCACACTTGTGTTCCATTGCCACCACCACATCCTCGTGCTGCATTTGGCAGAGCAGGGACTTCAGGGTCTGCACTGCAAACCTGTGTGCAGAGCAAAGCCCAGGTCACACTGGGAGCACTGGCTCCTGCCCAGGGATGTGGCAAGGACAGGAGGACTGGGATGGAGCACCTGTTGGGACTGGTGGCAAGGCCGTATTGCTGCTGACATCCCTTCCAGAAGGTATCGACCTCCTCTGGCATATCCAGAGTGCTGAAGAGCACTTGGAAGAGCAGATGGACAAACAGGTGGGGGAAATACACGGTCACCATCTGTGGCACACAGGGCAGCTGGAGGATCTTCCACATCACCACGGTTGCCTGCAAAGGACAAAGCCCCTCGAGACAGCGCTCAGTGCCGAGGTGTCTGTGTGGCAGGGCCCGAGCACGGGAGGGAGAGGCCCGGAGAGACGCAGGGGGAGCACCGGGCCTGGTGGCCCTGAAGCTGCCCCAAGGCCAGGTTTCAGCCCAGCGCCTGAGGCAGGGAGACGCCGTGGGGGAGGGAGGATGGAGAGCTGCTGGAGGGGTGGCCTTGGGGCCAGCAAAGGCAGAAACTCACAGCCAGGGCAAGGACAGCCGTGTGGTCCCCATCGGAGGTGCACGTGCTGTGCTCTGGCCAGCTCCCCAGCACATCGAGGAGTACGAGCATGGCCGGCTCTGCAGTCCTGGGCGAACACATGATGCTCTTCCACATGGCCAAAGCAGCTCTGTGGGGTCAGAGCTCTGTCTCAGAGGAGTCTGGGACACAGCAGCATGGCCTGGGTGGCAGCGGGGAGCTGAGCTGCTCTGCCAGCCCTGCCTCTGCCCGCTGCCCCTCACTGGCAGCACGCAGGCAGCCCAGCCCTGTGGGGACTGGCCCCTGAGGGGCAGGGGGGAAGCATGGCAGCACGCTGGGGGGCTGGCAGGGGCCAGGGCTGGCAAAGGGAGCAGCCAGAGGGCCCTGGAATTCTCTGTTTGTCAGACACCTGGGACAGGCTGTACAGGCTGAAGGGCTGCTGAGCCTTGTGGACACGTGGGCCCTGTACCTGTCACACACTGGGGCCACACGCAGGAGAGCCATCACCACGTCAGAGGGCTGTGCCTCTGTCAGATCCAGAAGGGGCCTGTACAGATTGTACTCAGGAAACTCATTGGCCACGAGGATGTACCTCACCATGGCAGGCAGCTGGAGAAGGCAGGGGAGACTTGGAAAGCTGCCAGAGGAAGGAATGTGCCCAGCTGCCCCAGAGAAGTGCTTCCCTTGCCACCACACTGCCATGGCCTCAAAGGCTTCCAGGGAGCAGCAGGCGTGGCTTGGGAGGCCACGCAATTGCTGGGAGGATCAAACCCTGGCCACAGGCTGCTCACTTGCTTTGGGCTGGAAGGACCCTCCTCCACAAGCATATCCAGCAGGGCAGCACTGGTCTTGGTTTTGAAGATGGGAGAGTACGCTCTGACCACAGTGCCCACGACGCTGCTCTCTTCCTCCCGAATCCTCTTCATGACTTTGCAAACCATCTGTAGCAGAAGGGCAAGAAGCCCGGGATGTTGCATGGAGTGCTCCGAGCACAGTGCTGGGCTGAGCAGTGCCAGCAGGCCCAGCCCAGGTGGGGATGGCTGCAGGTACCTGCGCTGTTCTGCGGAAGCGGCCACGGGTGCGTTCCTGCTCTCGTGTGCGCTGCACGGCTGCACCTGGCAAAGAGCGAGCGCAGCCCGAGCTGAGGGGCTGCGGGAGAGGCCGGAGAACACAGCCCAGCCCTGCGCTGCCCAGGCAGGGACAGCCCCGCGACGCCCCAGGGCATGGAGCACGGCTGTGGGGTGTCTGCCCGGCCCCTATTCCATCCTGTCCATGGGCATGGCCCCAGGGGATGGGATGGGATGGGATGGGATGGGATGGGATGGGATGGGATGGGATGGGATGGGATGGGATGGGATGGGATGGGATGGGATGGGATGGGATGGGATGGGATGGGATGGGATGGGGCCAAGCTGGCTGCAGGCACCAGCCCTGTCGCCCAGCTCTGCCACTCACCCTTCTGTGGTAGCTGGAACTGCTCCACCTCTTCAGGCTGCTGTGCTGGGGCAGCTCCAGGGCCTTCTTTCTCCTCCTTCCCCCAGGCCAGCTTGGGCACGCTCGCAGGTCTGTGCTCTACGTCACTGCCTGGATTCATGGCTACTTGCAGGAGAAGGTGGCTCGGAAAAGGTCTGAGTCAGCAAGTGCTGCAGTCGTGCCTTGAGGGCACCTGCCAGAGTGAAGTCTGGGCAAGGCTACAGGACAGCAAGTCCTGCACTCTGGTCTTGGGGGCTCCAGCCACAAGGACAGGAGTCTCCTGTCAAGGACAGTGCAAAGCAAATGCCACAGTCTGCCCTCGAGGGCAGCTGCAGAAGAGATGCCTCGGGAAGGCCAGAGGTCACCAAGTGTTCTGGTCTGGCCATGAGGTCACCTGCAGGAGTAATACCTCGGGAAAGCTCTGGGTCAGCAAGGAACGAGTGGCTGTGCGAGGGCTCCTCACAGCACCGCTCTCTCCGTCCTGTCTTGTCACGTGCACAGAGCACTGTGGAGTGGCCTTGTCACTGCCAACACGTATGCCACAGCATGTCACAAAGGGCCCTTGGATACCCTGTCCCATTCCATTCCACAGTGACCATGCTGCACCGTGTCACAAAGGGCCCTTGGATACCCTGTCCCGTTCCATTCCACGGTGACCATGCTGCAGCGTGTCACAAAGGGCCCCTGCACATTCTGCCACCTGCCCTGGGGCCACCCCCAGCCCCCCCAGAGTGGCCCAGGTTGGAAGGAATGCCTTGCCCCAAGTGTGTCAGACAGCCCAACAGGATCTTTAGGAACGGCTCAGACCATCAGCAAACGCTGCCCTGCTCTGCGGGCTCAGAGCAGCAGGAGCCCCCGCAGCTGCCGACGCAGCCGCGGCGGGAAGGGCACGGGGCCCTGCACAGAAGCTGCCACGGCCTCCTCGGGACACGTCCCACATGGTGGCCATCCTAAGCACGGCCGTGTGACACAGACCAGGAACGTGTGGGCCAGGGCAGGAATGCTGCTCTGACCCTGGGGCCCGGGGAGCGCTGACATCAGCCGCTGAGGCACAGTCCCCGCCGAAGCAGAGTTCCCCCGAGCCCTGGCAGCACCGGTGCCCGTCTGCTGCCCCAGAAACCTGTGCCCCAAAAGGGCTTCTCTGCCAGAGGGCAGCCAAAGCTGGTGTGTGTTGCAGCATTTTTCAGAGAAAGAGGACATGAGTTATGAGAGTTGAGCTACTCCAGTCTAGGCCTCAGATTTGGGCCTTGTGAGGCCTTCAAGCCTCTGACGCAGTTAGAAATTCAGAGCTTGTGGCGCAGATAGAAATAGTATTAAGGTGTGACGGGGACCACTGGGCTGTCTGGGTGTGAATTAGTATACGTTTATAGTGTAAGGCTCAAGCCACTTTAAGGAAAAGGTAAACAATGTTAGCCTACCAATCAGAGTGCCTTTGTTTCTGTTAACTATGTAGAAGCTTATATAAACTACCATCTTATCTCAAATAAACGGAGAACATTTGATTAACCACATTGGTTCAGATCTGCGTTTGTCTTGTCCAGTTTCCCGTTTTCCTGAGATTCCCTGGCTTTTGGTGTGCACTGGGGGCTGTGCTGCGTCCTACAGGGGCTGTTGGTAGCAGCACCTGGAGCAACTGGTGGCAACACTTGGTGCGTGTCAGATGTTGTTGCTCCTTCCCGGAATGATTTTTTCATGGAAGGGATTAGCAGCAGCACAGAAACACCAACAGCTACTCAACTTCACAGGACAAAGAGAATCCACCGAAACACTGTCATGTTTCCTTGTGCTTTTGTGTCTTTCTTGCACTCTGAAAGAAAAAGAATTGGCCCAAGCCCTGCTATTCAAATCTCCAGCTGCTGTGTGTCTTCCTGTGGCAGCTCACGTGCAAACACAACTGGCTGCCTGCTCAGCTCGGCACTGGACGGCCACAAACAGGGAGGGCCCTGGTGAACATCTCTTTGGTCTGGTGGGGCAGCGAGGGCACAGGAGACAAAGACTGCTCCTCCCGTGTTCATGGGGCAACAGAGAGATTTTATTTCCCAAGCCCCCCCTCACACAGGGCTGCCGTAGTGCTCTCTTTTCCCCCCTTTTGTCCCAGCTAGCTCCGTGGGGGAAGGCGAGCGCGGGCAATTTCCGTCTTTTCTGGCGAGCCCTCGCGGGCGTCGGCTGGTGCTACGTGGGTCTGGGAGCAAAAGGCGAGTCCTGCGGCGAATAAAAGGAGAGAGACTTTTCTCCCGGTGGCAGAATCCCAGTTTATGGCAGGTTGGTCTGGAAAGCAAAAACCAAAAAGGCTGCGGCGTGCCGCGCTGGAGTTTGTTCGTGCCGCCTTGCCGGTCAGGGGCGGGGCGGCGTGCTCCGGAGCTGGCCGCGAGCCAGGGGAGGCGGCGCGCGGGGCTGCGGCGCGGTGGCCAACTTACGCAGGTGCCATGGCGGGAGCGGCAGCAGCGGTCGCGGAGCGGAGCAGCCACAGCAGGGTCGTCCGGAGCGGCGGCAGCAGCAGCAGCACGCGGGGGCCGGCAGAGAGAAAAGCCGCGGCGGGGGAGCGGGGCGGCAGCAGCACGCAGTGGCCGGGCGAGAGAAAAGCCCGGGGCGTCCCCAGCCCGCAGGTTAAGTACCGAACAGGGGAAACCCGGGGCAGCCAATGGGGTAACGCCACGGGGGATCTGAGGGCAGTGGGGTGCAGGGGTACATCCAATGGGGGATGGACAGGTGGAGGGTCCCAGGGCGTCTGCCGACCCCGCCGCGTGACTGACAGATGGCCTGAGATGTAAACACAATGACTCTGCACTTTCCCGGGAAGGCAAACCGCGGGGACAGATGGGAAAACCCCGGAGGGTGGCTACAGAGCGCGGGGGGGGTACATGGAACAAAATTATATATAATAAAACATATAATAACACAATTCCACACCTGAGGGAAACCTGAGGGACACCTGAGTGACACCTGGCACACCTGAGTGACACCTGGCACACCTGGCACACCTGGGCACAGGTACATCACACCTGAGTAACACCTGAGTGACACCTGAGTGACCCCTGGGCACAGGTAATGTTACAACTGGGGACGGATGTCACACCTGGACACAGGTGATGTCACACCTGGGTGGGTGCAGGGACACAGAGCCACCTGTGCAGGGACACGGTGATGTCACGTGTATGACATCATCGCACCTGGGGGATGAGACAGCTGGGGAGGGGGGGAACATCACAACATCACAGCTGCTGAGGTGACACACACAGCAGGAGCCCCAAGGAACACTTGGATCCCCCCAAATTACACCTGGGACACCCCCAAAACCACCTGGAAATGCCTCAGGGACACCTGGATCAACCCTGGGACATCTGAACTTCCCTCAAGGACACCTGGATCTCCCCAAAAACCACCTGGGCCTACCCAAAAACCACCTGGACCCACCCAGGATCTCCTGGACCCACACAGGGACAGCTGGACCCGCCCCCTAAACTCACTGGGACCCCACTGAAACTCACCTGGATCCCCCTCTAAATCCACCTGGGACCCCCAAAACGCACCAGGACTCCCCCAAAACCCACTTGGAGCCACCCAGGAACACCTGGGATCCCCCAAACTCATTCGGACCACCCCAAAGCCCACCTGGAGCCCCCAAAATCACAGGTGTGGTCCTGCTCCCCACTCCCCTGGGTTTGAATTTTTGGGTCGATTTGTGGCGATTTTTGGTTTCCATTGATAAAAATCTATCTGGGGGCGGGGCCAAGGCTCATTTGGGGTGGGGCTTCAGGAGGGGGCGGGGCCAGAACCCGGAGCTGGGAACTGGGAGGGGCGGGGCCTGAGGGGCCGGGGCGCTCGGTGGGCGTGTCCAGCAGCAAGGGGCGGGGCCAAAACACGGGGCGGGGTCTAAAGAGGGCGTGGTCAGTGTCTGGGGGTTCGTCCTGCCGCTCCCACCCCCCCAAATTCCCCCAGACCCTCCCTCACCGCCCCGCCCCCACCCATGGGACACACCCCAAAACCTCCCCAGCCCCTCCCCCCTCAGCCCCCCCGAGCTGTTTTCACCTGGGAACCCCCAAATCTTTGGGAATTCTCACCTGGGACCCCCTAAAGCTCCCCTGCACCCCTCCAAAATCTCCTCAGGACCCCACAAACCTCACCTGGGACCCCCAAACCTCACCTGGAACCCCCCAAATTCTCACCTGAGACCCCCAAACTTCTCCTAGGACCCCTAGACCTCACCTGGGCAGGTGGGAAACTCCAAATCCTTGGGAATTCTCACCTGGGACCTCCCAAACTTCACCTGGGACCCCCCAAACCTCACCTGGGACACCACAAACCCTCACCTGGGACCCCCCAAAGCTCACCTAGGACCTCCTCAAAATCTCCTCAGGACCCCCCAAAAGCGGCCAAAGGCGGGGCGGGGCGATGACGTCACCTCTTCCTCTTCCCCCTCTCCGGCTGCGCCGCGTTCCCGCGTGTCCCCAACTGTCCCCGGCCGTGTCCCCTCCCCGGAGTGTCCCCAGCGGCCATGGAGCCCCGCGAGGTGCGACAATCCCGGCGGGGGGGGCGGGAGGGGACAGGGGGACACGGGGGGGGGGGGGGCACAGAGGGGTGGCAGAGGGTACAGGGGAACACGGGGGTGGCAGAGGGGTGGAGGGGACCGAGGGTGGCAGGAGGGGACAGGGGGGGAATGTGGGGGATGAGGGGGTGACAAAAGGGACAGAGGGGACAGCAGAGCCCTCCAGGGAGGGGACAAACAGGACCACAGGAGGGCACAGGGGCCACTGTAGGAGGCCACAAGTGCCACCAGGCCCCTGACACCTCTCCTGTCCCCTCCCCAGCTGTCCCCCCACCAGCTGCTGGAGGCGATGGTGGCCGTGGTGGCCACACTGGGCGAGCTGGTGGCCACCCTGAGAGAACTGATGGCCACCGTGGCCAGGCCGCACAGGGACGTGCTGCTGGCCGTGTCCCCAGAGTTCCTGTGGGTGGCTGTGGGGACCTTGATCTTTCACCTCCAGGACGCCCTGCGCCACTACCGTGTCCCCTCCCTGGGCCACCGCCCTGTCCCCTCCCTGGGCTGGACCCTGGCCAACCTCGGGGACACCCCAGGGACCACCTGGGCCTGTGTGAGAGCCCTGGCCAGCGCCAGGCGTGTGCTGGACAGGCTCATGGACAGCTGGGCCCGGCTGGCCAAGGCGGCCACCGAGCTCCGCGACACCTGCAGGGATGCGGCCACCGGGAGGGGACAGCGGCTGGAGCTGTACCTGGGGCTGCTGGGGGACTTGGTGGCCGCGTGTGACAAAGCCACCGCCTTCCCCAGGAGCTGCAGCGCCGGCTCAGGGACATCGAGGCTGCCCTGGAGGGGACAATGGAGGTGTCCCGATTTCCGTGCGGCCTTGGTGGCCACAGCGGCCGAGGCTGAGCAGCTGTGGGAGGCCAGTGCCCGCCTGGCCACGTGTCACCTGCTGGGGACACTTGGGGACATCAACACCCTCTTCTTCTGTCCCTCTCCTGGCCACGGTGGCTGTGCAGTGGCCGAGCGGTGCCAAAGAGCCATGGAGGACATCCCGAGGCTGCTGTGCACAGAGCAACATCACCACTGGGCCGTCATCAGGCCGGTGTCACCTCTGCAGAGACTCGGGGACATTCTGAGGGCACTTTGGGAGCACTTGGGGACACTTTGGGAAGGTGTGTGGTGACGCCGGTGGG